GGGGAAAGGGGGGGACGGGGACAGGATCACGGGGTGAGGGTTGGAGGGAGGGGGGTATCCGTGGGGTGGGGAAGATGCAGGCCTGGCAGAGCCACTCAGTTTAGGTGTAGCTGAAAGGCTGGTGGGGAGGAATAGTCTGGCACCAGCAGGGTTCCCTGGCAGCCGGGAGGGAGGCCCAGCTGGTAGGATCCGTGCCTAGCCTCAGTGAAGGGAGGCGAGGACTGACTCGCCTTCCCTCTGAGCCACGTTTTCTACCCTGGGTGGGCTCCTTCCCACCCACTTATTACACAAACGCTGGTGGAGTAGCCACTGGCCAGCCTGGACAGGGTCCAGCAGGTGAGGACAGAGTAGTCCCTGGCCTTCTTTGCGGGACTTCTGCCCTGAAGGAGACAGATTTTCAAAAGGTGTTGACCACAGAGTGCAGTGAGGGAGGGCAGGGCCTAGCTGGCTGCCTGCATACCCTGGAGTCTGGGGGGAAATCAGAGAAGACTTCCTGGAGGAGGTGATGCTAAGCAGTGCTCTGAGGAGGAATGCCTGTTAGTTAAGAAAGAGAAACAGGACGCTCTAGGGAAAGTTGAGTGCACAGGCCCAAGACCCAAATACAGGCTTCCAAACATGGAAAGGGCTGGTGGGCACCTAAGCTGACAACTGGTTGGCACTAGAGGTAGAGATTATCATGTGGCTTTCATGCTGTTCCCCGGTTTTCCATGTCCAGGGAGACACACAGGCCTGGAATGCTCAGGTGCAAGAACAGAAGATGAGAGAAGCAGCTGAAAAAACACGAGAGGAAGCATTTGGTGAGCGTTTTCCCCAGCGCCTCACAGGGCTGTGCGCCTTTGTGTCTTCACAGTATGTAGGAAGCATTTGGTGAGCGTTTCCCCAGCGCCTCACAGGGCTGTGTGCCTTTGTGTCTTCATGATATGTAGGAAGTTTTTGGGCTTGGGGGTTTAGCTCAGGAGTGGATTACCTGCTTAGCTTGTGCAGTCCCATGCATGGGAGTGCCCACCTGCGCGCGCTCTCTCACACACACAATCATTTCACATTTTCACCATTTCACATTTACCCTCCTTTTAAAATTTCACACTCGAACCTGGGGATTTAGCCAGTGCAAGCAGGCTTGCCTAGTCAGTGTCAGGCCCTAAGTCTGCTCCTCAGCCCTGGCAAAAGCAAAACAAAACAAAAAACCCAGCTGCTTGTGCTCAGTGGATGAGCTAGTTCTCCTTCCTTGAAATCAAAGCACTCCAGGCACTCATGGCTCTTGCCTGCAATCCTAGCCACTCAAGGCTGAGATTTAGGATTGTGATTCAAAGCCAACTCCAGCTGGGCTCCGGTGGCTCACGACTGTAATCCTTGCTACTCAGGAGACTGAGGTCTGGATCACGGTTCAAAGCCAGCCGGGGCAGGAAAGTCCATGAGACTCTTATCTCCAAAAACCACTAGAAAACCGGAAGTGGCGTTGTGGCTCAAGTGGTAGAGCTCCGGCCTTGAACTGAAGAGTGCAGGGACAGGGCCCAAGCCCAGAGTTCAAGCCCCACAAAAAAAAAAAAAAAAAAAAGCCAACTCCACAGAAAAAGCACAAGAGATGCTTCTGTTAACCAGCAAAAAGTTGAAATTGAGCCACAGCTCAATTTCACACACACTCAATGGTGTGCCCTGGCCCTGAGTTCAAGCCCCAGTACCAGCACTAAATAAATCAATATTTTAGGTTTAATATAAATCAGAGGAAATAAATTTTAAGGATGAATGTATGTTCTTCTGTATGTTCTTTAAAAAAAACTAGAAAAGCCTTAAACACACACATGTATACATTCTCACCCCCAAAAAGTCCAAGATCTTAATCTGTGGGTGCTGTTTACCCTAATAACACCAATGCACAGAACTCACTTCCTGAGATCGGAGTCTTAGATAAAATTTCAGTTAAGGGTTCATTCAGTTACAGCCAACAAACTCAACAGTGATTGAAACTTCAGGTTTTTAAAGTCTCATAAGGATTTTTAAAATAGAAAAAAAAATAAGTTTTTAAAATAGTTAGACTCTAAACAAGATGGAAAATGTTGCAGCAAGACTTATATTGGAGTAAAGAACTATGAATAAAGTTTATTTTCTTATTTGTAAATGGTTAGATTATCCAAACCTTACTTTTTTTTGGGGGGTCTGGTCGTGGGGCCTGAACTCTGGGCCTGGGCGCTGTCCCTCAGCTCTTCAGCTCAAGGCTAGCACTCTACCACTGGAGCCACTGCGCCACTTCCGGCTTTTTTTTTCTTTTTGCTTATGTGGTGCTGAGGAATCGAACCCAGGGCCTCAGGCATACAAGGCAAACGCCACCTTCCCAGCCCCTGTTTTTATTTTTAGATACAAACTAATTCGAACTTGTAAAGCAAGTGTGACAGAGATTTGTGTGTCCACCCATTCCCTCTACCCAAACTAGGTATTAACATTTTCCCAACTTGGTTTCATATAGTTGTAGTAGTATTAATTATTTTGTTCAGATTCTGGGGCTTGAACTCAGATCCTGAATGCTGTCCCTTAGCTTTTTTTTTTTTCTCCCTGTTTATGTTCATCCTGGGGTTTAGACTCAGGGCCTGGGTGCTATCCCTGAGCTGCTTTTTGCTCAAGGCTAGTGCTGTACCTCCACTTCTGTTTGTTTGGGTGTGTAATTAGAGATAAGACTTTCCTGCCTGAGCTTGTTTCACACTTCCATCCTAAGCTCTCAGCGTCCTGAGTAGCTAGGATGACAGGTGTGAGCCACCACCACCTGGCTTATGGGTGCTTATGCTGTGTGTTCCTAGGTAGATCTGGTCTGGTATTGATGGATGTTCATAGTGCCAAACGTCGTGGTTAGCAGTGAACCAAGATCTCCTTCTACAAGCAAAGCAGTGTGGGAGAGATCTTGTATCCTATAGCCTTACTAACCTTTCAGCTGGTAGCATTTTGAGTGCTTTACCTCCAATTCATTGGGGCTTCCATCTTGCAAAATTAACCATCCTTTCGCAAGTTTATTAACCACTCAGGTTTCTTTTCTCTTTCTTTTTTTAAAAGCAATTTTGTTGTTGTGCCAGGGGTCTTGAACCGCAGGATCTTACATTCTCCATTAACTTTTTTACCCAATGCTGGCACTCTACCTCTTGAGCCACAGCTCCACTTTTGGCCTTTTGGTGTTTCATTAGAGATAATAATCTCACAGATTCTTTTCCTGCCCAGGCTGGCTTCCAATCCCAATCCTCAGACCTCTGCCTCTTGAGTAGCAAGGATGACAGGTGAACCTCCAGTGCCCGGCCAGCTCAGGTTTCTTGATAGAGATTTGCCTGTTCCTAGCCTTTGCTCATTTTATTGGTTGGGTTATTTTTCTAAAATCAGTTTGTAGGTGCTCTTTATATATTCAAGTACTAATCCTTTAATGGTCAGGTTGAAGGATGTATTTAACAAACGTTGAAGGTTTCATTTTGATGTGGGTTTTTGTTTTTTTATTTCCTAGCTGCTGAAATTAAGCAGAATGACAAAATCACGTGCATATTAGAAGGCCGGGAAAGGAGAGACAGGAAAAGTCTCTGCAGAGCTATCAATGACTTCCAGCAGACCTTTCAAAAGCCAGAAACTCGCCGTGAATTTGACTTGTCTGACCCCCAAGCCCTTAAGAAAGCGCTTCCAGCTGGGATTTCAGATGATGGTGAGAATGCAGTCATTGGAATGCATAAGTTCATGGGAGAGGATTTAAAGTTCCGGGAGAGGAAGAAGTTCCAACAGGAACAGAACAGGGAGTGGTCCTTACAGCAGCAGCAGGAATGGGAGAAAGCCCGGGCTGACCACAAAATGGCAGGTAAGGACAGGCCAGAGGTGGCTTGGCAAATCAAACCCCTAGGTTTTGTGGGTGATTTTTTTTGGGGGGGGGGAATGGTACTGAAGTTTTGAACTCAGAACCTGTTCTTTGCTAGGCAGATGCTCTACCACTTGAGCCATGCCTCCAGCCATGTAGGACGGCTTTTTTAAGTCTTAGGGTCGCACACCTGCAGATGCGGTTCAGTAGCACAGGCCAATGTCCTCCCAGCATGACTCTGGATCAGGGCCCAGAACTGGTTCCTGGCCTGTGTGTGGTCTCAGTCTGCTTGGAAAAGGAATGGTGTTAGTGTGTGGGAGCCCGCCACATCTTCCAGGAATACCGTGGGGCCCACCTGTGGGCCTGATACCCACAATGCCCACCAGGGCTCTCCAGGCCCAGCGAAGCCCTCAGACCCAGGGGAGCCTCTCTCTCTCCCTAGAGAGACCGTCCTGCCTTCCTTGAGGACAGCAGTGCCCTTCTCTGCCACCTCTGCACGGTTCCTGGGGGGTGGGGTCAGGCTCGGATTGAGGATCCGTTCTGCCTCAGGGCCTTTGCACCTGCTGCTTCTGCAGCTTGGACATGCCTCTTCCTGGCTATCTATTTGGCTTACCACTTTCTTCCAGGTCTTTGCTGCAGTGTCATCGGGGGCCTTCCCACCCAGGCCCTTCTGTTTTAAATCCTATATCTTCACCCCCACATTCTCACCCCTTTCCTTTACGCTTGCTGCCCCTCTTCCCAGTGTCACAGTTCTAAGCTCAGTGAAGGCAGAGGACTTCTGTGCTCACTACCACATCCTGTTTCTAGCATGTGGATAAATATTTGCTGAAAGAATCCACCTTTAGGACTTTTATGTTTGCGCCAATGCTGGGATGTGAATTCAGTGCTTATTCTTGCTTGGGATGTTTGCTCAAGGCTGGTGCTCTGCCACTTGAGCCACACCTCCACTTTTGGCTTTTTACTAGTTAATTTGAGATGAGTCTCATAGACTTTCCTTCCTGGGCTGGCTTTTGAACCTTGATCTTCAGGCCTCAGCCTTCTGAGTAGCTGGAATTACAGGCGTGAGCTACGGTGCCCATTTTGCCTGCCTTTTTTGAGTGTAACCCATCTCCTTTGTCCTGGCCTCTGCCCGGTTCTCATGCCTCCCCGGGCTTCTCACTTCACATCTGCCTGCCTGCTCTCACATCTCTCCTGCTGCCTTTTTTTTTTTTTTTTTTTGGGTCCGGTCGTGGGGCCTGAACTCTGGGCCTGGGCGCTGTCCCTCAGCTCTTCAGCTCAAGGCTAGCACTCGACCCACAGGGCCACTTCCAGCTTTTTTCTTTTTGCTTATGTGGTGCTGAGGAATTGAACCCAGGGCCTCAGGCATGCAAGGCAAGCACTCTATGACTGAGCCACCTTCCCAGCCCCTCTCCTGCTTCTTTTCATCAAATACAAACCCGGGGATCATTGAGTTCACCTTGTCTCCAGACTCTTCTGTTTCCCACATGTATTCTGAACTGCCCCTTCCTTCTCTTCTCTTTTATTGCCGCTGTGATAGAAGCCATTGCCTCTTGCACCTGGGTGAGCCAATGTCTTTCTTTCTGCTTCCTTTCCCCTCTCTGGTACATCTTAGCATACTGAGCAGGGTGACGCTAGTTAACTGGTGTCAGGCTGAACAGTGCTGTGCCCACATCCCCCATCCCAATCCAAACTCTAAAGGCTTCGTGGTGTGCAGACTCCAATCTAAAGCCCTCCCTCAGCCCATGCGGCTCTGCTGGCTAGGCCCCTCACACCCTCCATGGCCTCCATGCCTTTCCCGCAGTGCTCCAGACTTTTGGCTCTTCCACTGAGCATCCTGCCCAACCTTCACACCTGTGCTGACCCACCTTGTTGAGTCCTAGTCATGCCTTCCCGCCCTGCTCCCAGCTACCTAAGTCAGGCTCGCTCAGCCTCTTGTGCTTTTCCCCTATGGACGGTCTGTCTGGGGTTTGCGTGATCTACACAGCAAGTTCAGGAAGGACAGGAAGGGACTTTGTTTCACCACTATATCTGTGCACCCAGCAAAGCAGGGCCCAAGCCAGGCTTTTGACGGCCCCTGTCACGTAGATGAATGAACCAGGAAAGGTGAGATGAGGCTGAATGGGATCCAGGGCCAGAAAGTCAAGGTTGAAGAGTCAGTGGTAGATCACTGAAGCAGTGTGTGCAAAAGCCTGGGTTCCATCTCCAGCACCATACAGAAAAAGAGAGTCTGCTCTTTCGGTTCTCATCTTTTAGCAATAAGAAAGAGACCCATAAGACACAAATTCAGAAATCAGAAACTGCTAGTTAATGAAGCAAGTTGGGTGCTGGTGGCTCATTCCTGTAATCCTAGCTGCTCAGGAGGCTGAGATCTGAGGATCGCTTTGTGGTTCAGAGCCATCCCAGGTAGGAAAGCCAGCGAGACTCTTATCTCCAATTAACCACCAGAAAACTGGAAGTGGAACTGTTGCTCAAGTGGTAGGATGCTAGCCTTGAGCAAAAGAGCTCAGGGACAGCACCCAGGCTCTGAGTTCAAGTCCCACAACCGACAAAAAATCTGAACCATGGTGTTGCCCTGTCTCACAGACTGTGACCCAGAGGCATAGAGAGGCAAAGATAAGAGTTAACAGAGCTAGGAAATAGCTGCGCTCTGACTCCAGATCCTACATTTTGCTGTTTGGTCCCTTCACTTTGACCTGGCCACGAGTCCTAGTGCCACATCATCATACCTGTCACCTGGGATCCTTTCCTCTCCACATTCTGATTCCCACACCCCATAATGACCAAGGATAGCTAGATGCACACATTTAGTCTGCCCCTGCAGGCATCACTAATCCATAGCAGACTCTACATAGCAGTGATGGTTAGCACTCCCTGAGTGCTAAGAACCTCCACCTTGAGTTAAATGGTCTAATTCTCCCAGAGCCTTCAGAGGCAGGTCCTATCGTTATTGTCCCTCGCTCCCCACCCCCGTGGCGAGGAGGACGTGAAGGACGTGAGGGGTGACTGACCGTGCCACAGGTGCCGTGCACACCGAGGAGGCGCTCTCGGGAAGCCGCTCCCGGGGGCATGCGCAGTCTGATTGCATCTTGCCTCCTCACAGAGGACTTGTATACGCAGGCAAGGCTGCAGGCTGATGAGGTGGCCCTGCACCTGCAGAAGCTGCAGCTCGCCACCCAGAAGGCAGTCAATGCAGCTGTGAAAGAATTCAATAAGAACCAGGTATGTGAACCCTGGGCTCATGTCTGGAGGGAAGGGCGAGCGCAAGGGAGCTTCCTGGGCCCTCCCCATCTCTCTCGCAAGGCCTGGAGAAGGGCTGCCCTGCGACTCGCACGAGCTGCTCCCCAAGCCAGAATCTGGGAACAAAGGGCTGCACAATTCACTTCGTAAACTGGAGAGGCCCGCTGACCTTCCCAAACCTCAGGTTTTCTTCCTGAACATGAAAACGGTAAATAACACCTACCTAGATGGCAGCGCAGAGGGCCTGTCTTGAGTGAAAAAGCCAACTAAGAGCACAAGGTCCTGAGTTCAGAGTGTGCATGTGCGTAGAGCACATACACACATACACACAGACAGACGTCTACACTAAAGGTCATTCATAGCGCATCTGCCTAGACCATAGCACCAGCCTTGGTCTGCTGCCCGGTCTGGACTCACTTAACAAGAACAGGTAGGTGGACACCTCCCCTCCGGCTCTGTGCTGAGGGGGCTTTGGACTCATTAATCCCATTGACAGTCAGACTTCTTCCAGGCTTTCTTCTACACACAGTTGGTTGCCTGGCATCTGGATTAGTTCATCAGCTTAGATCATTGACTAGACCTGTGGTTACCAAAGAAACGCCCCCAACCCCATCCCTTGGGAAGCAGGAAGACAACATGATACCTACTCATCTGTTTTTAATTCTCAGGTGCCTGTGTTTTGCATAGTGCGTGCTATGTTTATGCATTTACTGCTTTGTGGGCCAAATACATTGGAGAGCAGGCTCAAAGATGTCTCACAGTGCAGTGGATAGTCAAAAGTCCCCAAGGAGTGGGGGGGTGGGACGGAGGAGGGCACACTGTTGGCCGCGAGCAGCCAGGGCAGAAGCGGCGGCCCAGAGGCGCGGCTGGCCGCAAAGTTGCCCTCACCCCAGCCTTTCCAAAGAGCATCCTGCGGGAGGAGCCAGCCCGGCCCCACCGCAAGCTGATGGCCTGGGGCTTGAACTCAGCATAAGCACTGTCCCTTAGCTTTTTTGTTTTGTTTTGTTTTGTTTTGTCATGGGGCTTGAACTTAGGGCCTGGGTGCTGTCTCTTGAGCTTTTTCACTCAAGGCAAGTGCTCTAATACTTTGAGCCACAGCAACACTTCTAGTTTTCTGCGGGTTCATTGGAGATTAGAGTCTCACAGACTTTTCTGCCCAGGCTGGCTTTGAACCACAGTCCTTAGATCTCAGCCTGCTGAGTAGCTAAGATTACAGGTGTAAACTACCTGCACCTGGCTCTCTTAGTGTTTTCACTCAAGACTGGAACTCTACCACTTGAGCCACAATTCCACTTCCAGCTTTTTGGTGGTTATTTAGAGATGAGAGTCTTATGGAATTTCCATCCTGGTCTGACTTTGAACTGCGATCCTTAGATCTCCACCTCCCGAGTAGCTAGGATTTCAGGCCTGAGCTACTGGAACGGGGCTTTTTGATAGTGAATTCACTATTCCAGCCAGCCAGCCAGCCATCCACCGATTCATCTATCAATCAAATCAACAGCTGCTTTTGAGGTCTTCCTACCAGGCACTGATAGGGCTCTTGCTAAGCCATGTCACCACTCTCATAGCTTTGTTCAGTCCTTCCTGTTCTCAGTGAGCACCCATTAGTGGTCAACACTTTGAGTTACTCCCGTGGCAGCACCATCACAAACCGCTCTGCTCTAGCGAGGCCTGTGCTTTGGCTTTTATACTTCTGTCCTTGACTAGAACTAGACTTAGTCTGGGATGTTGATAGAAGGTTCGAGAAAACCATCCTCAAAAGAAAATTCCAGGCCAGGCAAACTTTGATCCTCAGATCACAGCCTTCCTGAGTAACTTGGATGCAGGCGCGAGCACCAGCGGCCAGCTGATAGCTATGGTGTGATTAGCTTCTGTGTGAGCGGTGGTGCCAGGCGGCCGTGGTGCAGAAATGCGACCAGTGCAGTCCAGTTGATAAGAGACAGGCTCAGGGCTGAGCCAGGCTGTCTCGGGGAGAGCCAAACACTGAACGGTCCTGTCTGGTGGCAAAGCACGTGCTGTGTGACGTCTTGCCGCCTGGCGCTGTCACCGCCACCCTCATCTCCAGAGGCACTACGAGCAGTGTTCATCCATCCCTTGATTTTACCAAGAAATGACTGCCGCCCAGAGAGGGCAGGTAACTCACCACAGGTCACGCCCCACGTTCCCTCTCCGCCCTCTCCCAGAGCAGTGTAACTGGGAATTTGTTTTTGGGGCACTGAAGCCGTCAGGACCGCTAGGTGGCGGCACATCTTCCACCATTTCGAAGCCACCACTAGTAGGAGGCAATAGAGAACATTCCATTGAGTGTTCTTTGTAGCCCAGTGAGGTCCAAATAGCCTGGTGCCAAAGACCCTCCCTGGGAAGGCAGGGAGGGCGGCAGTCTGCTTTGGTAAATTGGCTCCTGGCACAGCTGCAGGGCGTGAGCGCTCAGGAGGCCAGGGCTCCAGCCTTCCACGTGGCCATGCCGGCAGGTCTGGCCCCTGCACTGCCTTCTTGGCCCCTTCTCCATCCAGGGCCCTGGTGGGCTTGGCAGACCTGGATCAGAGGCCTGCTGGGCCCTCAGAGCATCCTCTCCAATGTCCTCTGCGTTAGGCCATGGAGTCAGCCAAGAGGAAAAGGCAGGAGAAGAAACAAGAGCAGGAGGACAACTTGTATGAGATCTCCACCCTGCTGCACAGGGACCCGTTCTCCGAGAGCCCGGAGCAGATGTCCGGCTCCTTGGGGCCCTGCCACGTCATCCCCAGCTGCTGGAGGGGCATGACCCAGGAGCAGCTGCAGGAGGCCCGCCTCACTCAGAAACAGCAGATCCAGGAGAAGCAGGTGCCCGTCCATCCTCTGCCCCAGCCCCTCCCCCCCCGTGCCCAGCTCCTTTGCTTAGTCTCAGCCAGCATCACACCAGTCCTGGGGCGCATCCATTCTGGAACAGAGTCACATGACATGGGTGGGGCACGTGAAAGAAAGGGGGAGGGGGGAAGGGGGTTCCAGGCCTTTTTGGCCTGAGCCCCTGGGAAAGCTGGTGGTAAGATGGGCGGAGGAGCAGGCTGGTGGAACTCACGAGCAGTCTTGAGCACGTCAGATGTGCAGTAGGTAGCTGATCTCTTAGGATTGGGTTTGTCTGAATATGGAAAAGAAGGGAAAAAAAAACCACAAAGAGAATTTTAGGCTAAAAACCTTAGAAAAATCAGGGTTTGTGTGGCAGTCCTGTGGGCACTGTCTGGACACCTGGCTGCACCTCCTGGCACAAACTGGCTGCTTGAATACCAGTCCTTTCTAATGCATCTTTGGGCTGTGGAGGAAGAGGAATTTAAAAAAAAATCTGAGGAGATTGAGTAGACAGTGCATAATCATAAGATTGCTGCTAACTGCAAAGAACCCAGGGGCATGGAATGCTTGTAGGCTGGTGGTGGACAAGAAGCATTCTGCCCACACCTCCAAGTAGAGCCTGGGGGAGAGCAGCCTGGTAGGCGGCTGGAAAGCATCCGTGGTTTAGCTAAAGATCTGGGCTGGGGGTGTAAATGTTGGAGTCAACACTGATAGAGTAGTAATGATTCTGATAAACAGTGTTGTAGATGGACTCCGAGGCCTGGTGTCTGGGACCCTCACCTACCAGCAGGAAAGGGGCTTGTGGTGAGGAGCTTGAGGTGAACCGGTGGGGTGCTCCCTGGCCTCCGTACAGTAGGAGGAAGGGGGTTCAGCCTGGCAGTGTGACCATGTGAGGCTGGGGTGCTGCGTGTTGAGAGCCGCTGAGTTTGGCAGGGAGGGAGGAGGAAGAGGAGACTGAAGAAAAGCGGGAGTAGATAGAGGAAAAACTGAGGTTCCTAGAGAAGCGGTGGCCCTTGGAGGTGACACCAGGGAAAAGGCATTGTGGGTAATGCTGAGATGAGGCCCAAGGATCCCAAAGTGGAGGTCCAGAATGGCCTGGGGTCACGGCCTGTGATCCGGCGACATGGGCAGCTGGAGCCACTGTGGGGAGCTGAGGGCTCTGGAAGGGAGGTGGGGGCGGAGGATGGGGCCCTGCAAGGCTGGCCCCCAATGCTAGGAGTCTTGACCACAGCAGGCTCGGTTTACAGATAACAAGGGCGCTGCCAGGGCCAGGGCGCCGCAGGCTGGCGGCTCTCGGGGCTCTGTCCTCACAGCCCCGACTCCCCTCTGCATGGAGGCAGTTTGGACCGTTGAACTTGAGGCCTTTGTGCCTCACACTTGGCCCTGGGCGTGGCCTGGGTGCCTGCGAACTGCCCTGGACAGCCCGGGCCTCAGGTGGGTGCATGGCAGCCAGTCAGCACCCCGTGGGGCGGAGCCAGGCCTGGAGGGCCCCGGCACTCCTGCACCTGCTCACTGGCAGGGCTGTGCAGGGTGCCAAGGCCTCAGAGGCGGGGAAGCAGCAGGGCCACACAGGAGGTGGCTGCCCCTTCTCCGAGTCTCAGTTTCCCCATCTGTAAGATGAGAGGCCAAGCCCCCCAGGGTGTGGGGCTTGGAGCGCCTGGGCCGTGGTGGTGAGTCACCCCAGTTCCTTGCAGAGGCTCCAGGAGGAAGAACACCAGCGCAACATGGACTGGGACCAGCGGAGGACCCAGAGGGCCCGCGCCACCCTGCTGCAGGAGCGGCAGCAGCAGCGCCTGCAGCGGGACCTGCGCCGGGCCCTGGACAGCAGCAACCTCTGCCTCGCCAAGGAGCAGAGTTTGCAGTGAGTGCCGGGGACAGACAGAGGAGCCTGCTGGGGACATGGCCCTCCCCGGCAGTCCTCCCGGGACACTACTGCCTACACCGGCTGCCTGAAGCCCAGGGATCCTGGGTTAGTCTGGGAGGTCAGGAGGGCTTCCTGGAGGAGGCTCATTGTTGAGCTCTAGGAAGGCAGTGGTGGCTTTGACTGCAGAGGGCTTTCCAAGTGGCGAGAGGGAGGGAGGAGCTCCAGGTGGTCCTGAGCAGAAAGGATCCCCGATTCAGCAGTTCATAGACCTAGCTCCTTGACCTCTGCACGAGTCAGGTGAGTTCATAACTGCAGTGGGTTTATTTAAGGGGAGGGGGGTGGAACTGAATTCTGTATCATGAATAACACTAATCACAAGCAAGTATAGGATTTTTTTCCCTGAAAAAACTATTTAGGAAAAATATATGTTTACTAACTTTTTTTTTTTTTTTGCCAGTCTTTGGGCTTGAACTCAGGGCCTGGGTGCTGTCCCTGAGCTTCTTTTTGCTCAAGGCTAGCACTCTCCCACTTGAGCCACAGCACCACTTCTGGCTTTTTCTGTGTATGTGGTACTGAGGAATCAAACCCAGGGCTTCATGCATGCTAGCCAAGCACTCTACCACTGTGCCATATTCCCAGCCTACTAACCTTTTTTCCCCCTTTTCTTTCATCATTAGGAAAAAACACAATGAAGAAGTCTATAAAAACCAACCCACAGGAGACTATTTTGCACAGTTTAATACAAGAAGCCGATAATGGAAAAAAATCCCCCCTCACCCCACTTGTTTATGAATAAAGTGCAGCCGCCACTCAGTCTCGTTCACTGAAAGCAGGCCCAGAGTTCCCTCGGTACCCTGCGTGTGATGGACAAGTGTGTTCCTCAGCTCTGTGATTTGCATCCTTCTGCCCAGGTCTCCTGCCCGAGGTTCCGCTGAGGCTGCATGCTGTGGACGCCTGGGCGGCAGCTGTGGGATGGAGGCAGTGCTCAGGTGCCATGGGGACAGGGGTCTGGCCTGTGGGCAGGAGTGCTGCTGCTGCGTCCAGCAGCCTTCCCACCTCACCAGGAAGCAAGGGAGGGGTAAGTGGATTCTCACCACGGCTGGTGGCTAGCGTTTTGTTTCGCTTTGTTTTTATTTTATTTATTTTTTTTTGGTCGGTCGTGGGGCTTGAACTCTGGGCCTGGGCGCCGTCCCTCAGCTCTTCAGCTCAAGGCCAGCGCTCTACCACTTGAGCTACAGCACCACTTCCGGTTTCCTAGTGGTTTATTGGAATAAGAGTCTCATGGACTTTCCTGCCAGGCTGGCTTTGAACCGCAATCCTCAGATCTCAGCCTCCTGAGTACCCAGGATTACAGGCGTGAGCCACCAGTGCCCGGCTTTTGTTTTTATTTTTGAAAGAGTGCTCTGTATTACTATTCATGAAAACCCTCACTTTGCTAAAAAGCCTATTCTGTGTAGCTTTTTTCTTTTTGTGCTGTCGTGGGGTTTGGATGCAGAACCGTCCAGTGACCTCCCACTCATGGCAGCTCTAACACTTGAACCACAGCTCCACTTCTGGCTTTTTGCTGGTTAATTGGAGGTAAGAGTCTCACAGAATTTTCTTCCTGGGCTAGTTTCAAATGGATCCTGAGATCTCAGCCTCCGGAGTAGCTAGGGTTGCAGGGGTGAGCCACTGGTACCTGGCTCCCCTCCTAATCTTTCTTAGACAACAGTTTGAATGGGTAAGATGAGGCCCACCCAAAACACAGGCAACTTACAGGACTTTCTTCTGTGAAACACATTCTCCCTGTATTATTAAGAGTTCCAAGAATTTCACAATTCCAAAGGGATAAGGCAGATTTAGTCCTTTCTGAGTCTCTTGATCTTAAAACTTAACATTAAGAAGGAAGTGTGTGTGCTGTTTCCACTGCGGGGGATCTGGGGCTCGATGTCTGGCACAGGCAGGAGGAGACCACGCCATGCGGGTGTAGACAGAGTTTACTGAAACACCACGTGCTTATATACAGCACACAAGCAGGAGAAGTGAATCTTCAGTCAGGGGCAGAGTTAAGTTTAAACAGTTTTATGAGAGCACAGCAGGAAAAACTAATCCTTGTCCACAAAGGTGGAGCAGTTCCAGTAATCAGGGTTGTTAAAGGAGGTAAAGCTCAGGTGAGTACACAGAGGGGCTCTCGAGGCATTGTTCTACAGGGTTAACTAGGAGAAGCTGAATGGCGCTTTAAGCCATCACCGGCGCAGAACCTGGAGGAAGGGGTGTCCCTTCCTCCCCCAGTGGAATGCATGCCTGCACGCACACCCCCCCCCACACACACACACAGGAGCTCAGACGGGATTATGCGGGTCCATGCCTCCAACAGGAGGATGGAAGGGAAGCTTTTCTGTTTCTTCCGTTTACTTCCTGATTTTAACTTCTGGGTCTGGCTCTTTTGGTAAAATCATAATAAAAAAGATGATAAAATAATAATAATATAATTTCCCTGTCTCCTCCTGACTCAGCAACCACTTGCTACCGGCTATGGGGAGACCAGGCAGGCCAGGCCGTTCTGGACACTGAGGTCACAGTGACCAGAAAATCAGCGCAGTTAATCAACCTCAGTCCTTGCGGCGAGCAAGACAAGACTTTGGGCATGATGTAAATGTAGTGAAAGTGGTTGGAAAGGAATGCGGTAGAGGAGGTGGCGTGCACGATGCCACAGAAGATGACACCCAATTGTCTTCAGCCACCTTCTGGGCGTTAGGTGGGAACAATTGGGAGCAGGGGATAAAGGTGTACGTGGTCTGAGTCCTGTGCACAGGTGTGTGCTGGCCGGCCACGGTCTCAGGCAAGTTGTTAAAGCTGTTATCACTTGAAGATTTCTCCTGCTCCAGGTGCAGCCTGATCTTAAGATAGTTGTCTTCATTTGGGAGCGATCTGTCCTCTGTGAGGCTTTGCTGATGCTCAGGTGGTCTCAGTCAATTGTTACAAAGACGTCATGCAGCAGGCTTGTCTTTCCTGGAACCCAGGGTGATAGCCAAGTTGAAACCCGAAGTCTGCGTGTTGGCTCTCACACTAGCCCCTCTGCGCCTGACGGGGGACAGGTAGCTAGTCAGACTTTCTCACCTAACCTCTGGGGCTTTGGACCTTTCACCTCCCAGGGAGCATTTATGATTCAACTGGTTCAGTATATCCTCGCAAACAAGTGATGTACACATGCACTGCCATAGGTAGCCTTGAGCCACATTTCCTCCAGAAGCCTCTTTCATCTGGTGGGATAGGAAACAGGACACCACTGCTGGACAGTGTGCTGCTAGTGATCGGAAGGCGAGCCTATGCACAGCGTGCCGTTATGCTGTAGGCTGCCATTGCTAGTGGTGAATATGGACAGAATCAGAATAAAGCATAAATAAACACCATTCCCACTGTGTGTTTGCCCAAATCTCACCTCAATCTACCTCGAGCAGAGAACCTGTACAACAATGCCAAATGAAGAGATGTGGCAAAGGGCAGAAAAAGATGGATTACATGGCAGCCACGGGAAGAGACGAGGGGAGAATTAATGGGTATGAGTGAAGAGATAAGCGTAGTTTTAATCGCTTCCTAGGTTAATGCCGACCTATTTTTGAGATTATTGTGAATGGAATTTTCTTGGTTCTGTTCTTGGCCTAGCCATTGTTCATATATAGAAAAGTTGCTGGTTTTTGAGTGTTGATTTTATAACCTGCTACGTTCCTGAAAGTATGAGCTCTAGAACTTTCTACTCTAATTTTTACTATTTCTTTTTGTCTGCTAATTTGGGGTTTGGTTTGTTCCTATCTTTATAGAAGTTTGAGGTGGAACATTAGGATGTTATTTGAGAGCTCACTGTTCTTTTTTTTTTGTCAGTCGTGGGACCTGAACTCTGGGCCTGGGTGCTGTCCCTCAGCTTTTCAGCTCAAGGCTAGCGCTCTACCACTTGAGCCACAGCGCCACTTTCGGCTTCTTCTGCTTATGTGGTGCTGAGGAGTCAAACCCAGGGCCTCATGCGTGCAGGGCGAGGCTCTACCACTGAGCCCCCTTCCCAGCCCCGCACTGTTCTTTTGATGTAGGCACTCATCAAAGATTCTAGATTGTGTTTTCATTTTCATGAGATCCTAGGAACTTCCACATTTCTCCTTTCCTTCACATGTTTAGTAATTTGTGGTTCAGTATTTTCTGTAGTATCGTTTGCTGTTGAATTCTAGTGTAATCCCATTATGATCTGATAGATACAGGTAATTATTTCAATCTTCTTGAATTTGGTAAGACACTGTATGTCCTGGGATATGATCTATTTTGAAGAAAGTCTAATGAGCTGTACTGAGCAGCTACTGGATGACACACTCCGTAGGTGTCTATTTCGGCAATTTGTTGTGATATTTAATTGTGAGGTGTCTTTGTTGATTTCTTTTTGTTTGGATGCTCTAGCTATTGCTAATAGTGGGATATTGAAGGCTATTACTATTATTGTGCTGGGGCCTTGTAAATCCAGAAATGTGTAACAAACCTAGGAGCACTGCCATTTAGTTGAATCTTGCTTTTTAACCTAAATTGCCATCCTATGTCGTTTATTTGCAAGTTTAGACCAAGAATACTCAACGTGCATATTGAATGATGTCTTATTTTTTAAACAATTTGTTGATTTTATAAGAGTTGCTTCTCTCCTATTTCTGCTTTTCTAATTGACTCTCATCAATAGTTTCTTTTGTCTTGGATTTTCCTGGTTTTGATTTTCTTTTTGTGGTAGCATTCCCTTAAGTATCTTTTTCAGTGCTGGCTTACTAGTCATGAATTTGTTCAGTTTTTAGAAAGGCTTCTATTTCTCGCTCGTAAGTTATCTTAAGAAATTTAGCTTTGCTGGTTGTAGGAATTTATGATGGCAAGTTATTATCTCTCAGGGCTTCAGTTATGTCCTTCCACACCCTCCTTGGTTTTAGAGTTTGTGTTGAGAAATGTCATTTTAATGGTCTTGCCACTGTAAATTTCCTGTGTCCTCTTTTGCAGCTTTCAGTAGTCCTCATTCTATATATTTAGTGTATTAACTATAGTTATGTGTTTAAGAGATGTTTCTTCTTGGATATTGCCTACTTGGAGTTCTGTAAGCCTCTGCCACACAGATAACCCTCTCTTTCTCTGGGGAAGTTTTCTGCTATTTTATTGAGTAGGCTCTTGATGATTTAGTTTATCTTTTTTCTCCTTTGTCTATGCCCATGACTCATAAGTTGGATCTTTTGACAGAATCCAAGAGGGTCTGTGTTTCATTTATATCTTAAGTGATTTTTAATGTCTTCAACTTTTAAAAATTGAATTCCTATGCTTTATCCTTAATCCCTGTTTTCAACTTCTCTGGAAACAAATATGCCCCACCCACAAAACACACCATCCATTTCCAGGAATATTCTTGCCCTGCTAGTCGTTCTGGAAGCAGGCAGCTGAGCTCCGGAGACTGTGCTTTGGGTCCGTCAGCGTGAGGTCACCCAAGGAGGTATGCATCTACTACAGCACTTGGGCAGTGTCTCCCCCCAATGCCCTGGCTCCTCCTGGTCACGGGTCCCTGCTCTGTTTGCTCTGGTCTCCTGCAGTGCTTTAGTGTTGGATCCATATCAAATGCCGTGTGTGAGCGCGTTCAGGATTCTCCTGTGGTATCCATGTCACTTCTGGCCTCCCTACTGTTCAAGTTGGGTAACGTTTCTAACTCATGGTTCTTTAGCTTGTGTCCTTTCACAGTGCTGAGTGAACTCGCCCGCAGAATCAGGCGAGTTCAGTGATTTAGGAGGAACATCCTGGAGCTGATTGTCCCTGTCTCTACCCTCTTTCCGCTAA